TAAGAAAGGCGTTATCGAAAAGCAGGTCGAAAGTACCAAATCCAGGTAGTGTTTCATTTGCGGGATTACTTGCAACGCATGCTCTTCCTTCTCGACTGCGGCAGTCGATACGTGTTCTGCGGTGCGAAAAGGAAGGCCTCAAAAGTTCTAAAACAAGTTCGCTTCCAGTTAGTAAGCACAGTGCTTATACTTAAAGGTCATTGCTGGTAATTCATTTTGTGAATTGAGGGTATTATTTGCACGAAAGTGGGAATCAATAACTACCTGAGTGCAGGTTGTAAATTATGCCTACTTATAATATATAATTTATAATAAAAGTTATTTTATACAATAGCCTGAAAGTTATGATTATAAATGTTGATAAAATTATTACTACAGGTGTGATTTGCTTAATTATATCACAGTCATCATTTTAAATTTATCTTTAATATTACTTTTGTCATGATGACATACGTATGTTTAATATTTAAATTAATTTGGTTAAATTACTCAGACATCTTATTTTCTTTTTTCACAATATTATGATTTTGACTTAAATCTATTCACAATTTTTGAAGTCTTTTCTTATTATTTTGCGAACTCTGCTTTATAAAGTTAATTTGGAACAGAGCACGTCTTTACATAGACAATCACATTTGAGAGATGAAGCTTTTAGTGCTTTCCTTGTCATTGTCACCAATGGCGGCGGTAGTTTTGGCGATTAATCCACAACTTGAAATTTGATTTGGAAAGTAAAGTTTAGGGTTTAAAATCCATTTGCAAGCAAATGAATTTGTGCACAATTGGAGAGATGGAATTGCTAGAGGCACATTTATATTCACTTTAGACTGGGTCGCTAATTTCGATTGGCATCCATTTTCTTATTCAATGCGACAATCAAAAGCCCAGAGAAGCGCGGAAATATAATGATTTCCATTCTATCATTGATTATATGTGTCTATATTTTTGTAATGCATTTCGATCGATTTGAGATAGTCCATTGTGATAAATTAACTACGAAGTTCAATTTTGTTTCATTTCAACTTTTCTGATAAACTTTTTATTTTCTATCTTTATGGTTTTGAACTAATCCCGGGGTATAATTATGTATTTACAAGGGTATGTTTTTCATTAATTACTATTAAATGACAAATAGTGTGGTTTTTCTCTAGTTCTAATAACATTTTAAAGGCCTTTGGTGATTCTTTCTTGTTGATTTTAACCATAGTAGTTAAAGTTATATTTTTGAAAAATATTCTACGTTCTTGCTTTTTACTAGCCTTGAAAACGTGATTGATTGAATACGTGTACACTGACCAATGGACTTTGAGGTGCAATATTATTGGCTATTGAAATTAACTACAGTCAATTTCTTCGCACTAATTCAGAACTTTTATTTACACTGCTTGCATTGTAGTTTCGCATTTATATCACACTAATTGATTTATACCACGCAATGTCAATATCTCTTAAGTGTTTATCCAATTTTCTCTCTTTCAAGACATCTGAGGTAGCTTAGGGATAGAGGCAGATAAAAAATTCCAAATGGGCAAATGTCCACTGCTAACTAGCAAATAGAAATTGTATTAAAATGACATAATTTTCATTTATTTAGCTCACATTTCGAGGTCAGTAGAGCCATTTAAACCTCTTCGACTAATTTGGGCTTTTAAAGACGCTCTAGCAGTTTATGAAAAGAAATGTAAACCCTCACTGGATAAACAATAACTGGAACATGCCAGAAATATTAATGAATATTCTATTTCACTCTCATTGTTATAACAAGGTGGCAATCGTCTCCATAATTTTAAGACTTGCGAAGCCCATTGATTTATCAATTTTTTTTAATGCGTCAAATACGAGAAAATGGGCATAAAAGGAGTCTTCTTATTTAGGCATCCCTTTATGCATGACCACTCATCCTAAGCTTCCACAACCGTTCAAAATTGCTTTACATATTTTGGAACATATATCCCCCTTTTTGCAACCAAGAAACTTGCTTCTTTATAGTTTGACCATAACGCGACAGCTCCTTGAAAATTGAGCGTCACTCACCATATAGACACATGTTTTAGCCAGAGGATCATAACCAAAGGTTAATTCCGGTAAAACGCCTTTCCGATTGTAAGTGTTTGAAGTATAAATTAATTTAATGTACGTTTACCTTACCAAACATAATTTTAGCAAGCTCACACCATAAATGGGCTTGAAAATTATGTAACTTTAACTGACGACAGTTTCTTCAAATCGATTGTTGATACAATCAATATACATTATCATCATCTTGAATTTAGCCAAGTGTGAGTGGTTGCGACCATTTACTTTAAATTCTGGTGGCAAGATGAGGGGGGCTGTTAAATGCCATGCGAAAATCTATTTTCAAATTCTTTTCACTATTTTCATTACGTCAAGAGACGTTATTAATGGAAAAATTTCATTATTGAGAATTTATAGTGACCTTACATAAGTCTAGTCACTTTATCACCTTGACAGTGAATCAGGTTATTTTGAAGTAAATGGTTGACTTCACCATTTAATCGCCACATTTACCCTTCCTCAACAGACTCCTAATGAATGCATAATTTGTAGTGTTGTTTCATATTTTTATACAAATTTAGGCTTATTCATACCTTTGTTTTTTCACTTGAAATCTGCCTTTCTGGATCAGTCGTAAAGTCGGCTTTAACTTCTGAGATTTGTGAGCTGTCATAACCTTGTGGATAGTCTTATTGATGGTTTTGGGGTAGTTAAAAAGGCCTTTACTTATTTAGCTCTAACATATTACTCTCTAAAATCTAGTCACCTTGTTGGCTCTGAAAGAAACTCTTAAAATGCGTTTTAGTACATTTAGTTAATGAGCGATTTGTCTTATAAACGCTCCCATTACTCTTCTCGTAGTAAATTAATAGTTTTCAACTAATTTTACTTCAACTAGGGTTATGATATTGATTGAGAAAGTTGCTAATATGGTCATCACTGTGAGGTAACTATGATGTGGTTTATTAAATATTCATCCTTAATTGCACGAAACTGACTGTTGAAATATAATTAATTTGCTTTAGTTCGCAAAATCTGAGTGGCTCCGATGAACTTCATTAAGGAAACGAGGACTTTCGAGTTTCCCCAATAAGGAATAGTACCACGTTAATTGCTGTTAAACTTTTGTTGAACTACTGCTTTGAATTATTGTTCATTACCGGTCACGTATGCCTTTTTAGAGCGTGAGAGAGGGCTATTTATAACTTTTAATGGCGTCTATGATCCTAGGTCTCTCTTGTGTAGACATGCGACTTTGCCTTTCCTGCTTTCAACCTTTTCACATTGGCCAGCAGACAGCCAATCACCATGTCTCAAAGGCTGGGTTCTGTGGCTTGGCAACAAATGCGTCGAAGTCAGGTCGGCTGCTTAGTACAAAGTGAGCAAAGAAAGGCGAAGCACTCCCCACATTTGCAACCAAATTGCTAAAGCAAAAAAACGAATACATTCTTCATTTAATGAAGATGCGAAGAGAAGCAGGCGTAGAAAAGCATATAAGCAACGTCAAATTTTTATAGAAAAAAAGCTATTTGAATAATTAACAAAAATAGCGTGGAAAGAGTGTCATATCGGATTTACTTTGAAACTTGATTAAGGGACGCCAATAACGACTTCATAACTTCCAGCTTTACATGACATTTGTGGTGGTCTAAGCATCATTTCTAATCACTTCTATCTTCGTATTCAAGCGGCAAATCATCATTTTTCATAATCACCCGATGATTTGGACGTTATTGAAAAGTGGATTTTCTGTAAGGGGTCTTCTTAAGGGGCCATTAGGTAATCGTCCTTCTCAATTTGGAAGTAAAAGGAACTTGAGTCTCATGAGTTATACATATGAGTACATAATTCTTCTGCTTATTGAAAACAATTCCTCCTTTGATCCTAAAGCTTGTTTAGTTCACTCACAACACATCATTTATCGATTTGACTTTGATTAAGTCTTCTTAATTTCTCCAGAAGAAACCTATTTTTTGCAAATTACTTTGCCACTTCTATTGTACATCGCCTATTTTTCTCACGAATTTTCTAAATGACAACTGCCCCTCATAATCAAATCTATTGTTATTTTAACTGTTGTTATTGTGATTGCACGGAAATCAGTTCTGGTTATAGAAAAGTGTGGTAGGTAAGCTATATCCAACTCAGTTAAATAATGTAGTAAATAGGTACACTGATGCATGGCCTTTATTTCAATTTCTCTCATAATTGAATAGAACCTAAATTTAATAATTCTGACTTATTTGTGTATGATTAAAAGTTGGCAGAGATTCCTTTATTTTTTTGCCTTTAAAAGTCTTTTATTGTCTGTTTCATAATTTTCATTTTCTTCTGTAGTGTTTTAGCATTAGTGCTTTACTTTAACTGGGCTTCAGGTAAAGCCTTGTCATAAATAGGCCTTACTTATTGTCACAACCTTTTCCCCTTACAGTTAATTTTATTTTTACTTAGAAAATTGTCAATTTAATTTTAAGATCTTCGTCTTATAATCGTTGTGCTAAAGACGGGGCATAATATCTTCTAGCCAAGTCAAATATTCCATGTGGTGTTATGACTAGCATATGTGTGTGTGTGTGCTTAATCTAATTCTGCAAATCTTATTGTGAGGTGTCATTATGTAAACACCCAAAATATAATTTTCTATTTACTGCGTACTATTTGATTACATGCACCTATGCTCCACTCTAAACCACCTCTTCCCTGTGTGCGTGCGTGCAACCTGAAAGAGAGCATAGCCCGTTGTTGGGTATCTTTTCATTAAAGCACACACACTAAAAAATTGGTAGTTTTTTGCATGCAAACCGATGCACACATCTAAGAAACAAGAGGTGCGTGAATAATACCATTGTTCGCGCACATACACACACATTCATTACCAGTAATCTATTCTTCTTCTTATTATTTCGCTCTTATCCTTTTCGCAAGTAACTCCCCACGAGCGTACTTGACTTACCCATTTTCTTTCCTTTCTTCATCGCCCCCAGGATTCACCCACGACTCGAAGACGAAAAGAAATTGAAGAGATTCTGAGTGCCATGCCACCTTCACCATCACCTTCTCTGGAAAATATCAAGGGGTCTGCTGATTCTAGTGCTCATACGCACATTTATGACAATCTTCCTCAAAATGTAGATGACAATGAGAGGAATGCTGTGAGTTCCAGTTTAAAGTTTCTCTGTCTGATCTACAGAGGCAGCAATTTTCTAAAAAAATATTGTGCACGCTTTTAGAGAATTTAAAGCACTAGAAAACGTTTTTTAATTTGTGCTATTGGTCATAACACCATTATATTTAAACTAGTCATCGAGTGCGTATACTTTTGTTGCATTTTGCCTTTGCTTCATCTCAATATCGACTTGAAATCTTGAGGTTTTATAAACCAAATTAACTCATACCCTAAATTTAAGATCATTTATGTTTTGAAACAAAACTGGGGAGTAATCCCTTGTGTTTTGTACTTTAGCACACTCCATCTGAGGAAGAAATTCATCCTTCAGTTGCTAATAAACAGGTATTGACAAAAGTTGCACAATCGATTATGGAGCCCAGGGCTGTCAGCATGTTGGAATCTATGCATCCAGAACCCTTAAACGGGGCTGTGGAAGGCTACGTAAAGCCTCCAAGACCACCACCGGCTAAAAATAGCAGTCCGTCTAAGCCAACTGTAAGTCATACTAATGCACTTCTATTTTCTAAATTGAATTAATTAATGCACCTAGGTTATATTAAGGTTGTTCACTTCTCTTTCTCATACTAGATGAAGGTAACTACAGTGGAAGTACTTACTTGCTTACCTTAAACTCTTCTTCAAATCGTCTCAAATGTGTCAACTTAAAGAGCTTTTAAACTCTAATTTCAGAACTCTCAGTCAAACGCTTTTATTGTGAGAAATTTTTCATCTTTTTGCGATTTAGTTTGTGTGTGCGCTAACCGCATGTTGTTTTATTAGAAAAAACCACGATTTTTTAATTATCTCTCATTGTTTTGGCAGTTGCCGAGCCAAAGGTAGTGAATTTTGATACATTTTCAATTGAGTACATCCTTTTGTTATAATTGTACCTAAATCTTTTGTGAACTTCAGCTTCAGAAATATGACAATTACTAAAATTTCGGATTTTAAGTATTCAACTAAACCCTCATTTTCTGAAAAATTATCACTCTAGAGTAAATTGTTGATGCAGTAATTTTGCTTTATTATTTTCCTAAGTAAAACGATTGTCAGTTCATTTTAATCGTAGAAACCATTTAAATGCCATGAAAGGGAAAAAAGCTGTCAAAATGTCGAGAAACAGAGGAACGAATATATATAGATATATATTCATTAGTACGGAAATTAAAATTTCGAACCTTCTTCCTTAATTTCATAATGTTTTTATGTCTGTGGGGTTTAGAGCTAGGTGACAATATGGCTAAAATGAGGAATTGTTAAAACCACCTTGGTAGGCTTTAATCTTTTCTTCGCTAAGAGGAGTGGATGTAGATGGGAGTCATATGTTAATTCATTTTTTTCTATCATTTCTTAAAAGTGTGCTTATATAATGTGCAGCAATTTGTTTTAATTGACTGCATAATTAGGAATCGATTTAAATCCTTTGCGTTTTAGTGTGTGCATCATTAACAGCAAATAAAACGCAAATAAAATCATGACCAATCGTCGTATTATTTATTTAAAAGGCGAAATGCTTTATTTGGGATTGGAGATGTTCGCCTAAACTTAATGTAATTTGACAATCAAGATTAGATTTTCCTCACATTTATTAATTACCTTGATGACTAACATTCCCTCCCCCCCCCCCCCAAATGTATCGGCGACTTCGTTATGGATATGAAAGTATGAGACAAAATATTCTCAAATTTTAATCATGTGATAGCACCGGGGTTACAAAAGCACAAAAATAGTCCCATAATATATACTCCTTTTTCTATGAATTTCGCTCCCGAGATTAGTTCAACTCAATGTTTGGTCATGTCACTGCTATCTATATCTACCTTCTTAAACCAAAAAAGGGGCCAATTAGACCATCCGGTATATTCCAAATGTAGCAGAGCTCATTAAAGATTGATTTTCTTACTTTCTATATCGCAGGAAAACACACTACATGGAGTCTTTTTCGAAATATAATTATTTTATACGTTCATAGCCGATCGATACTTGTGTCTCGTATGGTAGATTTAGGTTGTTTGCATTAAAGTGTGAATAAGCCCTTCTATTTGAATTCCGTTTGCCTTTCACAAAGTCGAGTTTTCGTTCTTACACAACTTTGGATGTCTTTGTAGGCAGTTTTTAAAATATTTAAACCGGAGATAGCATATTGGAAAGAGGTCTGCGAGTAAGCTTATCGAAAGCTAAATATTACCACTATTTTAGCAATTAGGCATTTAAATTATGGCTTTTAAGTCAGCCCAAAGAAATCCGAAACTCTTGATGATTTAGCAAATATCATAAATAATTAGATATAAGGCCTTTATACTCCGTGCTTTTCTTCTTGGCATGTCATTTTGCGTGTAAACAATTTGACAAATCCATTTTTTCCTACCCCAATTAAAACTTACTTGGCATTCTTTATAGTCTTTGTAATGCTATTGCCAATTTTGATGCTGCCAATGTGGAAAAGGTGAAATCGGGTTCTGGAAAGGTGATAGACATTGAAATTGCAAGATAGTATCCTCCTAGTTCTTTTACATCTCCCCACCTTAAATCTATGGTTTAAACGTATTAAATTTGTGGCTTATTTCTACCAACGCTTCCATCCATATATATCTAATATCTTCATGTAAAGTCTTGCACAATAATTTCTATAAATATTCACCTCGTAGTTTGATATAAATACTAAATATTCCAATTTCCTGAGGGAAGCTTAAAAGGAAATAAAATATTTCGCACAGATATAGGTCTTAATAATTGTTTTTGAAACTTTTGAATTGTGGTTTACTTTATACCTATAGGATTTTGAAATTGCAAACTTTGAGTATTTGTTTCCACTTAGTACACTGCAAGTAAATAAAAAAATAAACTCATGACCTGTTCTTGAGTACACATTCGGGTGTATGAATTCTTGGAGGAAATATTTAACTAGCTAATAATTTATTTATTTCAAATGGCAGGCGTTTTGATAGTTATCATTAGCCCTTTAGCTGACTTCGGGCTTAACAGGTGGAAAGAACATCAAAGTAACAGAAAGTCGAGGGGTGGGGAACAGAAGAGTGATTTACATATGTAAAGAGACAGACATGAAGGCAGAGAAAAGGTAGGATGAGTACTGCGCCAGAAGTCAATCGCCAGTTAATAGACTTTTTGCCGTATGAATATACGTTGCCCAATGTGCACCACGTGGAGGTAAGTCTATCACGCACCCCAACTAGCTAATAATAGAAGTCGGGTAGAGTTCTGATAGATTAATCTTTACTCCATCATAAATGTAGAGTTACTAAAGCGACTGCAGCTTGAAATTGACTCGAATTCATGAATATTCCCTAGATGAGGTTCACTACTCTCATCCCTGTAGCTTACAATGAAGTCTCCATATTAATGTACTTCTGCCTAACAAGGCAACCATCCAATCGCGTCGAGTATTTCCAGTTGTAAATAACTATGCTTTATCGTGTTATCTCGAAGAAGAGGGGATTTTAGTTGAGGAAGAAATGTTCTCATTCATTGTGAATAGTCCATCATAACCACAGTGAACAACCGAGACTTTATTAGTGGTTGCGTA